CAATTGATCTTTCTTCACCATATTTAAACAAACTTTTTGGTCCATATTGAGGGTACCATACCACCTTAACAGTTTATCTTCTCTTTTCATGTTAAACTTTTAAATTCAAAACTAATATTTTAGTTGTAAACATCAGCGCCCATGTACATGAGGCTGAAATAATGTCTCTTTTGCGAAAATGCCACTCCACTATTTCTCTACTCTGTAGTAAAAATATCATAAATGATATTTTTATCGTCTGCAGATAAGGACAAAAGACACGACCATGCGTATAACAGCAGACTCACGAGCAGTCCCACAATAGGGGTATACCAACCTGAGGGAAAAAAAAAAACAAAAAAAACAACAACAACGAGTTTACGAGTTAATTGGCACGTTAACAGTTCAGTCACGTTTAAAGCAGCTCTGTCACAGTATTTGGAGTTTTCTTGGACACGTACTAAACTACCTTTAAATTGAAGGAAACCTGAAAATTGTACTCAGAAGTTGTTGTAGTTTACTGAGATAGAAAAAAACACCAAAAAGATGATAATAAAGCATAAAGGAACAAGGATGGGTAAAAATGGAGAAGATTAACAAGGATTACAAACGACTAACTTGAAAAAATTAGGCTGAACTTTTTAAGATGCACAAGCCGTGACGTAGCTTTCTTAAGTGATCTACATCATTCAATGAAACAATTAATCAATAAATTGAATCACTTTGTTATTCATGCAAAAAAAGTTGTCTGTTATAACTCTTGTGCCGCCTCAATGCATTCTTCCGTTTCGCGTGGTTAATCATGGCGCAATGACAACCAATCAGGAACACTGAACTGCAGGGACACTTCATCATATTAGAATCTTTCGTCTCCCATTGACAGAACAAACCACGACAGAAGTTATGTTTCTCAGAGTATACTTACAGACTCTAATGATTATGTTTACTTACGAATTTCATCATAATAGTTTGCTTCCAAACGTACTTGTTGCTGTTCGTCTGATTGTATTTCACCAGCCACTGCTGAGCATTCAGGAGTTTCCGAAATAACTGGCGGAATGATTGGTTTCTCTCGTGCTGGGAGACTGAGAGTTCTTCTGGAGCGATGCGATGCTAGAGTTGGAGGAGGGTTGAAGGACTGGCTTCGGAAGGCACGTGTTTGAACGTTGTTAGCGGGCAGAGCGAACGTGACGCGGTCAGACATTGCGTTACTTCGAATGAGTATTAAACACTGTGAACGATATTAAAAGAAGATGTACGATAACTTTTTGATGAAAACAAAAACAGTGGTAACGCAATAAGTACTTGAACAAGTTGTTGCATAAGAAGTTCATAAATTTTGCTCAGGTGCTCTCTAACATAAAATATAAACCACTGACATACTGTGGCAAATTAACATTTTCTTCGTATTGGTCTTTCATCGGCCGTGAAAAACCATTTTTCGCACAATCCGTCGTATCGTTAGTGGTTTCACATAAATCATTCTTATTTCTAGGGGGATGAAAAATCATCCGGCATTTCGACGTCATGAAATACAACAGATTATTTAAAACATGTTAATGAATGGGCAAACCAAAAAAAAAAAAGAAGAAGAAGAAGAGAAAATTTCCCTTTGTCTTGTTGTTCTGTTAATTCAAGAAAGCGCTGTTTCGCGTACATGTCTTGTCACTGACGAGATAAAGGCTATGAAATATTTTACTATATGTTCATCATTAAAATGTCAAGAGAAAATCATTTTGAAAAACTGATGAGATACGACCATAAAATAAAAACAAAAATTCATTTGAAAATGAATTTTACCTCAAGAGGTCATTTGCCTAAGGAAATACGAAAACATGTGACATCAGCAGGGGATAATATCGGTATCTTTTGCTACTTCGTCATTTAGGGCGATACCGTAAAGGTTTTGAAATAAAAATTATAAAACAAAAAAAAAAACAAAAAAACAAAACAAAACAAACTCAACAGATCAAATAAATGGAAAAACACTAAGAATTAACCACTAAAGGACATGTTAAAACGAGAAAAGATGAGCCACTTTGATATTAACGCGGGTTCTTTTTCATTTATTTATTTCTCAGATTAGTGTGAAGACACTGGAACTCTGTTTTGGTGATATCCGGCACTCGCCCGTCGATGTCTGTGTCACGACAAGGTATTGTCGCCAGTCATCAGGTTAGACTGTAAATATCAGGTCCGAATAACACTTAGACTTTAAAATTCTTTAAATTTGCTGAACAGAAGTAGAGGCACATTTGACTAATTGGTTTTCAGGTATCTGATGATAGACGCGATAACAACATTATTTACTGCTTAAGTGACGTCAAAGAGAGCGATACCGCAGTCTTACTTGATGTTAAAATTCAAAAGAGAGCAAACCAAACCAAATTGTTGGAAACAATATTTAATATAAACAAAACGAAGAAATACAGCAAGCTAAATCTAAAAGGGCGTGATAAGCTAAGGCGAGATTAAAAAATTATGTAAAATCTAGTCGAGTGTGACAATGTAACTCTGATACTATTTGTTTATATCCGGGAATACAGGAGTATTTCTTTTTTTTTCGCAAGTAACAGAATTGTATTCATATAGTCATTAACATAAGCAGTAAATAAATATGTCTCACAAAAAATTGGTTTCGTTCGACCGTAGGTGAATTTCCCCGGTGGATTTAATGTGAAGATTTTGTATTTTTTTGAAAAAATTGTTTCAGTTTTTCTTTAAACCGGATGTTGCTTGTATCCCAGCCTTAGTGAGACAAACAGTGTTGAAAACAATATTAATGACCCAAAACGTTTACCAAGCTTTTTTTTTTTTTAAAAATAAAACGTATTCTGTTAACTTTTTCTTACCTTGCAATGTACATCAATTCCAAAGATGTTCAGTTCGAAGATAAACTGCCTCCCGCTTGAAATATCAACCCGGCTTTGAGTCAAAACTCAGCGGAACATATGTTCACTGGAAAATATTCCCGCGGAATATGACATCACGAGTGACGTGCATGTAAATAAATCACGATATCCATCAAGCAAAGGTAGATAATTGACAGTATTACAGGATAATGACAAGAAAATATCCGTCTTTTATTGAAGAAGAATCTTTTCTAATCGTAAATATATCTACGCGTTTTTGTTATCAACCTAATGGTGTCGCTGCAAGTTAATTTTCACGGTTTGAATGCCGCATAATTAACCTTAGGAGGAGATGAATTTGTCATACATCTGTGACTTCTATACACTTAGCAGGAAAAACTGTTTAATAAGACTTATATAAATATTGATTCACGAAATGAGTGTCATGCAGATTAGCTTAAACACAAGCCCCGGTTTTCTATCGATAAGTATCAAAAACACGCCATTTAATGACCTATTCATAAGCTCCTCCAGCTATTGACAACACTTGCTATTTCTTGCACATTATTCTCAGAAAGTATCAGACAAAACTGGCAATATATAGATTATTTTAATCATTTTTAATCACAACTATTGATTTTCAGACAATATTCGAATCGCCGGTTTTGACGTCCTGTCGTGAGCAGCCACCTCTCCTCAGCGACCAGTTTTCCAAAATACCAAACGTTTCCAAGTCAAATCACTATATTTGGAACCTCTTGTAACTGCGACCATCTCTCTTAAGGACCGGGGCCACTTTTAGAACTAAAAGTTTGAAATTTTCTTTTGTTTTTATAATTAACCTCCAGCAAGCGACCACAGGACAGATTATAGAGCGAAAATTGGATAATAAGATGTCGTAACATCATCGCATTCCTGGTTCAGGTACGTACAAGAGATGGTAAGTTTCTCAATGGGACTTTTCACACGAATAAGACATTTAAAACATGGGCAAGTCTCTGTAGTTATGATACGCTAATGAGGCACGGCAAAATTTTCACCCAGTATGGCCTAAGCTCTAGCGACCACCTAGGATTGACACTTTGGGTGGTCACTTACAGGAGGTTCGACTGTAGTAAATCCTAACAATCGAAAAAGACTAAAAAATATTTACACAACAATTTCTCACGTTAGAAGTGTTTGGCGGCTATTAGTTTAAGAATTCACAGTTTGATGTCAGGTAGTATCACTTGTGGAACAATGAGAAATTAATCGTTTTCGAATAATCGTGCGGTAGCAAGTTGGCACTTGGGCCTTGTGGGTAGAATATACCCAGAGGTACAGCCCAAAGCTACAGTTATTGTGCTGTCGCATTTATCTGCTCTGTGGCCTTGTGCGTAGAATATACCCAAACGGGTGGCATTAAAGTGATCGAGCTCTACGCCCTTGTGGGCAGAATACACCCATGCAAAGGTAAACTTATTTATCTGTGGCATTAATTTGCTCCGTGCCCCTGTGGGTAGAATATACCCAAAGGTGCAATTAATTTGCTGTCGCATTTATCTGCTCTGTGTCCTTGTGGGGCAGAATACACCCAAAGGTAAATTTAATTTGCCATTTCATCAATCTCTCTGTGGTCTTGTGGATAGAATATACCCAAAGGTACAGTTAATTAGCTGTCGTATTAATCTGCTCTGTGCCCTTGTGGGTAGAATATACCCAAAGGTATAGTTAATTTGCCATTTCATCAATCTCTTTGTGGCCTTGTGGGTAGAATATACCCAAAGGTACAGTTGACGAGCTGTGGCATTAATATGCTCTGTGCCCTTTTGGGTAGAATATACCTAAAGGTACAGCTATGTTNACTTGAATCATTGTGTATAACATTAACAATGGAAAGATGAACATAGCTGATTTAAGTGGCCGTATAAACGGGGTAAAAATTATGAAGGATTATCCAGTTTGGGATTTCCGAATTTGGACATATTAACAGCATGGCCGCATGAACGGGATTTTATAAGAAAACGTATGGGCGTTTCGCCTGGACATAAAAGGCGGCCATAATAACGAGGTGGCCGTAAGTAATTAATGCTTTCAACAAGCTTACTTTGTTTCGCAAAAATGCATAAACTATTCCTCTAGTCCTGTCGATACGACAGTTTCGACAAAATCATAAAATGTCTTCGGGAGAGCAGATCACATCACCGGACAATATCCAGTTAATGATTGCTTAGCTTTATTCTCCGATCTGTTTGCTAAACTTTGTATCAATTGTTTAAAGAGAATGTAGATTTTCATCAGACTGGCTGCAACTGAAAAATAATGCCCCGCTGTCTGATTCCTTAACGTGAGTATGAAAACCATTCTAGCTGCAAGGACCTGGAAACAGACTTGCAAGTGATAGCTTTTATGACTGAGTGATACATTAGCTTTGCGAATACTTGGGAATAAAGTTAAAATGTAAAGATTTATTAATATGGCAGTGTTTTGATCGTTAAAAACATTTGTTTCCGTACGTTTCTTTCATTTTAATGATTGCTAAATGTATTTTCATTGAGTTTCGCCGATTTTGTGTTCATATTTATATTAATTTATCATCACATGAGGTCTAACACAAACAAAGGCGGTAGTCGCGAATCTAGTAACCGTGATTGAAATAATTCATTTAAAGCCGTCCTTCTTTTATTGCTGTTCATTCCTGTCCATCACTTTACAAGCTGTCAGCTAATGCAGCTTTTTAGTTGACAAAGGTTTTGTCCTGATTTTAGTTTGCCATTGTGTCTTGTACGACTGATTAAATACGATTCGTGTTTTGAGCTTGGATGACAAGCATACAGTAATTGGCATCAGTTCGCCATTTCAATCGATCAATTCCTCGTTTTCCTTTCCTTCCGAATTCGATCATTTTATTAGTTATAACCGAGGTTTTCATTTTCCGCGGTTAGTAACTACAGCTGGCAATCAAAATAGAACGGCCTTAATTAATCGAAAAGCAATACGTGATACCTTACACCCGAAACTTGCTGAAAAAACAATAAAACACTCAGGCAGAAATTCAAATTTATTTCTCGTGCGACAAAAGCTGTGGACATCGAGTTGATGCCGGAGTCCCATATTTATCAGGTGAGATTAAAAATTATGCAATATTATTCGAAATAAGTTTTTGTTTAGTTTAAGTTTAGTTTAGTCTTGCTACATGGATGAAACTGAATGATATCCACACTGTATATATCATCGAATCTTACGATAAATTCTTTTTTTCTTCTCATACATTCCTAACACGCGGACTGAAAATCTTATGACACATTCGTTTGATTGAGACGAAAATACTATATTTTAACGGAATATTTAAGATAATCAATAGCAATGTGTATCGCGGCACAAAAAAGGAGCCGGGGTAGATCTTTTTGTGTGATTTTGTTTGAAAGTAAACATTGTAAATTGCGTGCAATTACGCCGTGGCGATGAATTTTAATCACAAAAATCTTTATTTACTGACCTCCTTTGTTATTTTTTTTGCTAAAACTACAATAGAACATACTGTTTATTGCTGTCAGATGATTTAGTTCACGCACTAATCATAATTTTTAACTTCGAAATATACACAGTTTGGAATGTTAGACAAAGCAATTGATACCACAAGAGTCTAGACTCATTGTTCATTTTCCGTATTTTATCACAGTTAAAATCCTTCAATCCTCTGACATGTCCACGGATGGTGATGTGCTGCACCCAGTCTCTGCTCGTTCGCGCAGCACTCGCTCCCATTCCCTCAAACAACAAAGTCAACCCATGGTCCTATTTAAGCAGCGTTCCAAACGCACCATGAGCCTGCCATCCAAGCCTGTCTTGCTGCCGCTGATCAATATTCAACGCTGCCATGACAACTGGGATGACGAGAGCGATGAAGGTGAAAATGAAGATGAAAATGAGGAAGAAATGGGTATGATAATTTTAGCTGTAAAAATGCATGATTCTGTCCTTAATGACAGTGTCAAACGAACACAAGAGGGTTTGGAAGAATTCGAGACAGTTATGCAAACCTGAGACGCAGTCAAGGGTTTGCATAACTTTCGAAAATTCTCCCAGCTCACCCGAGTGTTTAGATGAGACTATGAAAACACGGAAAAAGTCTTCTATTACTTTGATAAAAATTGCTATTTCTCAAAAATACGCGCGAATCTAAAACGTTACAACTGTGTTTACATACTCTCATATAAACACACCTATTGACCAATGAGAGCGCGCGTAGTATATCAATTATGTTATAAAAAAATTTATGTTATATGATGCTTTGTTGTCAGATTTTCGGAGCGTTTTATGCTGTACGCACAACGCACGTCAAGAAAAGACTTCCTTTCGTCCTATCTTGACCTTGGTTGTTTATTGATCAGATTAGTCCAATTAAACCTAATAGATTTATGTACTAAAGCATCTCATTTGATTTCAGCGTGGTACACGCCAGTTGTTGGATTAACCTGCAGTCTTGTGATGTATTTCTGGTCCTGTGTGCTGGCCTACTACGCCAAGAAATAACGACTACCGAAAGTTTTCAAGCGTTTGTCGCTGGCGTCTGTTTAACAGGGAACTTAAGCGATGACGACAGCCAAAAATTGGAGTTATATTTTACCATTGAATTTTGCAGAACTGTTCAGTACGCCGAGAGGTTTAAAATCCTGATCAAATTAAAGATGTAACGCCAGCGATCAGTTCCAGAGGAAAATACGAAAAATTAGCCGTCGTGCCTCGCGTTCTTCAAAATAAGCAGAACTTGGTCATTTTACGTTGTTGCTTTGCAGAGGACGGTTACTCATTAAACCTCTTGTTTAGTGACGTTATAGTTGTCGTTGTCGTCGTGGTTTGCTTAATCTCCCTAATGTCTATGACCTTAAGCCTTGGTCAAACGGTGCATCAACTACCATCGACTATCATGCGCTTTTCGTTTGACCAAGGCTTCTCGAAAGCATCTTGAGTGTCAAGAAAAGTTAAAGGAAATTAAACGTCAGCACGCTTGAGTTAACACTGAGTAAGCACAAAGTGGACTGATGTAAGAAAATTAATAAAACTCTATGAAGTTCTCATACTTTATCATTCTGATAAAGGCAAAGTAGAAGATCACACATTCGTAAGAGGTTAAGATTAATAAAATTCCAGACAATATTACACAACAAAAAATCTTTATGTTACAATCAACGGTAAAATAAATTCACTTAGGTTGTGTTTGAAATATATTTTGTTTACTGAGCTAATTTCATATGACCATTTTCATCCATTCTAATAATTATTAAGCTTGTTGCAGTTCTGAATGTTAACCATTAACGTTAAAGGAGTAATTCAGGGTTTGTGCTTCTTGAAAAATTTAGCCTAAATTTTTCAAGATCGTCGTTTGTAATCCGTGTTAATCTTCTCCATCCTTAACCATTCTTGTTCCTTTATGGTTTATTATTATCTCTTTGGAATTTTTCTATCTACTTCTATTTTCAGGCTTCCCTTAATTTGAAGGTAATTTTGCATATTGACAGAATAAATCAAAATACCGTGACTGAGCTGCAGTTAGTAATAGTGAATAGGTTGAACTGATGTTCTATTGTCTCAGGCTGGTTGAAACTTACGCGGGAAAACCCTATCGCGAGCAGCCACTAATCAGAAACAACATGTCAAGCCCTGCCAGATAACACAAAGATGACAGACTTGTAAACAGTACAAGAAATGAGTCCGCGGGAAGAATTACCATTTTACACAGACTCCGCAGGGAAATTGTCAGCGAAAACGAATGGAATCAAATGCATACATACATACATACATACATACACACATACATACATTTTAAAACTGTTCCTTATTTGTAGTCTGTTTCATGGTAAATTTGGCGGAAGTACTTACAAATCAGCTAACTGTTCATTTTGAAATGGTAGTAGTTGCAGTTTTTTTATTTATCTATAATAAGAGGGGTCTTCTCCAAGAGATGATGAAGAGTTAGAGAGAAGGGCACTTATTTCCTAGGTAATTTCCTCTTAAGTTTTTTTTTTTGACATAGTACCCAGTTCTTCGGTGGATAATGTTACGACGCACAGATGTCTACGTGGACGATGAGAATGCGTGTAAAGGCTGTTCACGAGAGCAAAATAAACCAATTTCGATATATTAAAATTCAGCCTAAAACAATAGATCTCAGTACAAGGCTCCGGGGAATAAACCCCACAAACTCTGTAGTTATTCTCCGGAGCCTCGTGCTGAGGTCTATTTTTTTAGGCTGAATTTTAATATATTGAAATTGGTCTATTCCGTCCAATTTCCAGTCTTCCTGGGATTTCCAAACCCGGAAGTAACCTTAAAATAGATTGAGAGGGATGACTTTGGGAGTAAGGTCTATACAAAGAATTAACTCTCTCTCCATTCATTTTCTCTTGCCTTGGTATATACGTTTAAATTTAAAACTTACATTTTAGTTTAAAACAACATGCAGCCCCTGTACATGAAGCTGGAAAATGTTACTTCATTAGCTATCATTGACGACTCCTTTTCTACTCATAAGTGAAAATATCATAAATAACATTTTTATCGCCTGAAGATGAAGACAAGAGACATGCCCATGCATATAACAGCAGACTCACAAGTAATCCCACAATAGGGGTATACCAACCTGATGGAAAAAAAAGAGAGTTTACAAGTTAACTGGCACAAATTCCAGCCACAACAAAGTGATTAAAATCATTTAATGATCATGGAATAAATTAAATGACCTTGTCATAGTTGTACTTAACATTGTTGTGCTAACTGAGTCGAAACCGACAATGTAGGTAAACTCAAAATGACCACTGTGGAAAAAGTTCCAAACTGCGGAATGTTGACTAGTTAGGGAAGCCAAAAAGTTGAACTCACGTTAAAAGTGTCCAATGCAAGTAAATTTAGTGGCCATCCGTGGAGCCCGCTCGAATTTGGTCGAAACGTTCCTACACAGTCGACATTTGCACCCAACACGTGTTTTTTAAGGTGGTTCTAGGTGACTTGTATTTCAGTAAGGCAAAAAGTCAGTAAGACACAGTCCCCGTCAAGCATTATTTTAAACATCGCTCCCAGTTCATACTCGACCGTTCGTGGACGTGCACGTGACCTTTTATTAGTACGCGGTACACAACACTATTTATTTAATTATTGATTAATTAGTTAATTTATTTATTAATCTTATTATTTATTTGATTAGTCTTCAGTAATTTGCATTTATATTTTATCATCATTAGTACACCACACTAACAGAACATATGGTTTGAAAAGGGGAAAAATTCGTCTGTCTTGGCCTCGCGGTTTTCAATTCCCAAGAAAGAGAAAATATCCATAATTTTTATCCCATTGAAAATACAACAAGAGACGTCATCTTTCTCAGAGTACACTTGCAGTCTTCAGGAATGTTTACTCACGTATTTCGTCATGATCATAGTTTGCTTCCAAAACATAGTTTGCTTCCAAACATATTTGTGGCCGTTCCTCCGATTGTTGTTCACCAGTTACTTCAGGAGTTTCTGAGATTGCAGGCGGAATGATTGGTTTCTCTCGAGCTGGAAGACTCAGGGTTCTTCTGGAACGATGTGAGGTTAAAGTTGAAGAAGGGTTGAAGGAAGCGTGAGTTTGTGTCTCGCTCGTGGGCAGATACAGCGTGACGCGGTCTGACATTGCGTTACTTCCGGCTAGAATCAAACACTGTACAATAATTAAGAAGATGAGTGAG